ACTCCGTGTTAATACCAGACGTGCACAGTTACCTAAGATCTGAAAATGGCAGATTTTGTTTGTTTGTGTGTTTTTACGTTGGAGGCGGCATACACATCAGCTCCGCCCACTTCCATCTCTTTGCTGAACCAGCGTGTTTCTGATTTTGGATGCTAACGCCTCCACGTTTTGTTCCAGCTCTGCCGCTCTCAGTGCGACGCTCTCCGTGATCGCACCTCCTCTCTGGAGCAACGCTGTTCCTCGCTGACCTCTGACCTCTCCCAGCTCAGAGGCCTCCTCTCTCGAAGCCGCAAGGAGTCCTCGTCCTTCTTCTTAGCCTGCGCCCTGCTGGGTGGAGCGCTGAGGCACGCTCACCGCCGTCTGTGTGGGCTTTCTGAGCAGAAGAAATTCCTGTGCCGGCAGCTGGCAGAGCGGAAGCAGCTGGAGGAGGAGGTGAGGAGGCTGGTTGATGCTCTGGAAGGAGAGAAAGACCAAGAGAAGGAGGAAGAGAAGAAGAGAGAGAGGACGAGGAGGGCAACGAAGAGGTGGAGGAGGACTGTGTGCGCTGTGCTGGCAGTGAGGAGGTGGTGTTCGCTGGCCAGGAACACGACAGTGTTGCTTCGTCTGGAGAGAGGAGGCGGAGCTCCAGCTGTCTGCGTCTGTGGAGGGGCGGATACGGCGACACAGAAGGCTCGAGACACACCAGGTACACACACCTCCACAAACAAGAAAGGAAACACTTTCAGTGTGTTTGTAGCAGCTCAAGGAAACACCGTCTTCAGAAGGTAACACACTGATGTTAGAGATGGTGCTGAGGCAGACACAGACTGTGCTGCACTGCTGTGTGTCACTGATGTTGTACAGCAGCTGAGAGAGCAGCGTAAATACTGTGTATCTGAGTGTCAGTGTGATGACAAGCTACCAGACTCACATACATGCTGTGGAGCTGCGGTCCTGTGAAAAACAGTTCGGCCCACGATTCAGTCGCTTGTGGAACGATCTTTAGCAGCAAGAAGTTGAAGTCATCACTTCCTGTATGACTATCGATCTCTCGCATCTCTGTGGAGGAAATTTGTCCCACTCTGCTTCACAGCATTGCTTCAGATGATTGAGGTTTGTGCACAGATCTCTTAAAGTCCTTCCACAGCATTTCAATCAAGTTGAAGTCTGGACTTGGTTAATTTGGTGGGATCGTTGTGCTGTCGTATGACCTGGTTTCAGCCAAGCTTTAGCTGTCGGATGCATCTCCTCACATTTGAATCTTAAATAACAAACAGACAGTTGGTATGAGGTGTTTAGTTTTCTCCAAACATGGTGTTGCGCATTATGGACAAACATCTCTACTTTGCTCTCATGTGTCCATCGGTCACATCGTTCCAGAAGTCTTACGGTTTCTTCAGATGCAATTAAACCATGCTACCTTATTTAAGAGAGAAGAGGCAGGGTCTTGAAATACCCAACAAGCCACACTTGTTCTGTTGTTTTCTAATTGTACCATCGAGAACTCGAGCATTTAGCGTGCTAACTGAGGACCGTAGAGCCTCAAATTACACTCCGACCTTCAAGTGAATTTGCGGGGAGGTCCACTGCAGCAGCAGCAGGAAGTTTGGCAGCAGCCTCCAATGTTTTCCATGTGGGATTAATCTGTTAATATAACATATAACATAACATAACATTAATAAGTGTTTCATTCATGATAAATGTTTGGTGGAGTGTGTTTAAAAAAACAAAAGGAAACTGAGAAACTTTTCTTTTTATTTAGACAAAAAGCTGACTGACGGTCGTGAAGGTCTTTGTGCTCGTTTGTTTGGATCTAAACGTCTCTCATCCACCATCCTGACCTCCATGTCTGACCTGCAGGGGGCTCTGGGAGACTCTGGTAAACACAAACACACACGCACGCACGCACACACACACACAGACCTCCTCAAAAACATCTTGTTTCTTTTGTTTCTCGAGATTCGTCCCCTCCACTCTTGCTCTCAGTGGCTTGCGCAGGCTTGTCCCGCCTCCTTGATCTCCTCCTCGACCAATCAGAGTCCAGCCTATCATCCTGTGGCGTGAAGGAGGAGACACTGAGCAGCCGAATGAGGCTCGGTCTGAGTAGCCTGACGTCTTTGCAGTCTGACACAAAGGTCGCTAAACACAAAAGAAACTCAATTTTATCTGAGAAACTGTCTCCCTCTGCTGACCTTTGACCTCTGTGCGCCAGCAGAGTTTGGTGTCGGTCCTCCAGCAGCATTTCCTGGTCTTCAGCCAGCGGCTGCATTCGGCAGAGATGGAGAGGCGGGGGCCTGCGGCTGGAGGCAGCCAATCTGAGGAAAGGACTCCGGAAGGAGACGAGCAGAATGGTGAGGCAAAACATGCACACACACACCTGCATGCTAAACACCTTCATGACGTACGTGTGTGTGTGTTCAGGTGCCAGACGAGCGTTTCCAGAGTGTGTGCGTGGAGCTCCGTCAGGCTCTGAGCAGAGAGCAGGAGGCTCAGATGCTGATCCAGGAGCAGTCCAACCAGCTGCACACGCTGCAGCGGCGAGTCCACGAAAATGCTGCCGAGCAAGCTGAAACACAGCGCACACTGAGACAGACCACACAGGTACGCCACACACAAATATTCACTCTGCTCTTTTTGAACATCATCAACAAGTGTGTTACCTGCAGCAGGTGGGATTAGGCCACGCCCACACAGAATCTGACTCGACCTGGGATTGATGGACGCTCTATTGAGAACATGTTCACCACTTTGCCTTCTGTCAAACAGCCCTTTCTACAGTAAGCAGGAAGTCACCCAAATTGCTGTCCACCAGACTCCATTCATAAAAACAGTAATTTTACCTCACAGAACACAGAACTGCCTCCTGCTGCCTCGATTGATCGGGCAAGTTTGCCCTGTTACGTGACTTTGGTGTTTTGATCCTTTGGTTCAGACACAAACTAGAAAAGTCTAACCGCAGCCCCGTCATCCTGTCAGAGAAAAGTTACAGTTTAGTTAGTGGAGTTTGGTGGAAAACAGTTTATCATCTGTTTCCACAAATAGGTGGGTAGATAAAGCTTTAAACACATTTCAAAACCAATGTAAGAACTGGGTGAACTGGAACTTAGAAAGTGAGACGCTCTCTCTGATGCTATCATGTTTAATGTCAAACTGCACGGATTTTAAATATACATAAAGGTACAAATCAAAGATCTAGCATTAATATTCTACATTAATATCCAACAGGAGGAGCAAGCCCCGCTCCTTGCTGTTACCTTACGAGAACCTAGAGTTGTTTACTGTGAGCTGTTTAATGGTGATGTTGTCAATAATTTACCTTCACAGTTAATGTGGAAAAGATGCCTGCAAGCCTGCACGGTGGACACCTTAGCCCTGGTGCAGTGATGGTTACTTTCAGGTAACTCTAGGTCTCTCTCTCTCTCTCACCAGGTGCTGTCAGAGGCTCGGCAGGAGGTGAATCGGAAAGAGCGCTCACTGAGGATTCTGGGTAAGCACCTATCAGGGATTCAGAAGGGGAAGAAGCAGGTGGAGGAGAGGCTGCAGCGAGCTGAGGAAGAGCTGAGCGATGCCAGCAGGTAGCGGGCCTTCTTTCCCTCCGCCCAGAAGTTTGTTTACTGTGAGATTGTTGGTTGTTGACGTTGTTGTTTCTCAGACGTCGGGACCGTGTGGTCAGCTGCATGAAGGCTGCAGAGGCGAGTTGCAAGCAGGTGAACACATGCGCACAAACACACACACACAGTGAGGTGACCTCACTTTGACTGCTGAAAACTCACTCTGGGCCTCACAGTTGTTGAAACAATGCAGTGTGCTCTTCAGTTCAGGGACAGTCTCGTCCAATCGCAACACTCTCTGAAGGCCAAGCCCCGCCCCTTGCTGTTACCTCACGAGAACCTAGAGTTGAGTGGAGCAGAGAGCATCATGGGAGCTCCTGAGGCGACAGCGTGCCAGGTAGCAGAGCGAGGAAGGAAGTGTCTTTCTTTTCTTATGTTTTCCCTCCTTTCTTCTTCCTTCCTTCTTTCCTTCCTTCCTTCTACACCTTTCTGTCCTCTTTAGCCTCCACCCCTCGCCGCTCTCAGTTCATCCCTTCATGTTTCTCTTCCTGTGCAGAGTTTTCTCTCCGCCGTCTCTCAGCTCTGCCACACCTGCAGCTCCAGGATTGATTGGCTTGAGCAGGAAGTCTCTGCCCACCGCAGTCATGTGACAGCACTGCGTAGCGAGCTGCAGGATGCTTGTCTCCGTGACAACTTGGCCTTTGTTCCTGTAAGACTCCCTCTCCTTTAAATACTGGTCTCTATAAGCCTCTATCTTTAGTGTAATGAATTATTTTTATGCATGCAACAATTCCTGTTTACAAAATATTACCTTTGTTTCTCTTCAGGTGTCTGATTTCACAGAAACCTTTCCTGTCGCTGACTTGGAAATACCTCAAGCTGTTCCCCTCTGTGATTTGTCAAAGAACCCAATGATCACTGTAAACCACTCCCCCTCTAATGTAAACCCCACCCCTCCATCAAAAGCAAGTTCCTCCCCTACTTCTTGCAAAGTCACCGTGGGTCAAACGAAGTTGAAGAAAGCCACAAAAAAAACCAGAGGCCACGTGAAGAGCGGAGGGCGGAAATGATCACATATTTCTGTGATGATACAAACCACAGAAGAAGAAACACTTTTTTGAAGTTGTGGAGGCATTCTGATTTTAGAAACTTCTCCTTCAAATAACCAAAACTTTATTCATCTGCAGTAGCGGGCAAACATGCTCTCTCCACAGCTGTCTGGTGACAGACGCCTGAAGGCCAGATGGTCGAGCGTTACGACGGCGACTCGGTGACGGATCAGCAGCTGCCACCAGAGCTGCTGTCACTCAGACGCTACTGCTCGTGTGCTGTGGCCGAGTGCGTTCTCAAACGATTCATGTGAAAGAAAACATCACAGAGAAAGCGTGAAAATTCTTCTTTAGTGTGTTCAGTCGGTTTTACTCAGTTACCTCACTGCAGATTTTCTGTTCGTGTTACTTTTTCGCTCTCGTGTGAGGGTTAAATTTTGTTTGTTTGCACACAGAACTCACGAGCAGATACATGTCCAGCTAAAGCAGAAAAGCTAAAGAAATATAAATGTATGTTTTTTGTTTATTGTATTTGTTTTTACTTATTTATTGTCAAATTTTCACTGTTAGGAATTAAAAATGAAAAAAAAAACACTAAGGAGTGATTTTACTAATCTGTAAGTAACTGAACACAGCAAATAATTTTTAAAGGAGCAAAATGATCACAAACAAAAAAATAACCCCAAATAATCTCTCAGGACACAGGACATCATCACAGACACAAAATGAGTCCTTAAGAGGAAAAAGTAGAAAACAAATGACTTAAAGGAAAATTAAAATTATCCAATTAAATAAATAAACTAAGCAAAAAATAATAATCTCAGGAACACTGAATGACCACTAAGTTTAAACATACATGACCTCAGAGAGAAACAAATTCCTCCAAACAAAATATTGCAGAAATAAAAAACATTAAAGATCAAAAAAACAAAAGTTTTCCAGCAGGAAAAGCAATCAAGACAAACATTTCATAACTACTGCATCAGCACAATAACTCTGTGTGTGTGTGAAGCCTCAGGCTGTGTGTGCTTCTTTTTTTTATTTGGCATTACCATGAGACGGCCAAAGAAATGTCCTCGGGCTCTGAGTGCGTGACGTCTTTACAAAGCGACTTAAGCTGCTGACACACAGAGAGCCGCGCTGATTCAGCTGAACGCGACTCTCTTTCCTCTGGAGGGGTTCGTCGTTTTTTTTTCTCTGTCTCTGAGGAGTCCCTTTGAGCTCCCCCTCCTGTCTTACACTCTTCCTTTCATACTTATATCCAACTTTTATTCTCTGCTTTTTACTGTTGTCTTGAGTTCTTCTTTGCACTCAAAGAGAAACAAAATGAACTCAAACAGAAAAGAAAAAATACACATAAGTGCCACTCAGTCCTAATGAAACTTCAGCTCTTATCAATACAAAGACCGTTTTCAGTGGGCGTAACATGACCTGCTCACCTGCTCTCACCTTTTCAGTTATGAGTCCTGGTGGCCAGTCCTTCCCAGCTTACTTTTTTTAGAGTATTTATTTGTCACAGATTAAACAGTTTTAGTTTTATTTAGCATGCAAGCTTTAAAGTCTCTATCAAAGAAACTGCTGGTGTGCACAGAAAGCTTTTTCCTTGACAGTCACTGGAATCGGGTAAAAGCTGTCTCCCTCCTTCAGCTGTTGACTCTTCTGTCATTTGCTTTTAAAGGAGTGGGTAGCTTAGCTTAGCATCACAGAGAGGACAGCTGGGTTAGTGTTTTCCACCAATAGAAAAGTGACAGGTTCATTGAACAGGAGGCAGCGGTCAGAGTTTGTCCCGCTCTCAAACGACAGATTAAGTTTAATTCCTGATGAAGCAGCAGCTTCTCTCATAGAAAACCAGATTCAAATGACAAATCTGAGGCCAGCTGAGGAGCTGTGAATTCCTTCAGAGGATAAAAAATGTAATCCAGAAACAAAGATAAGCTCCGGCATGCAGCGACACAACAGGATCGCCGGCTTTAACCGCTTCGACTCGTGCCACAGTGACCAGCAGCTGCACTCGAGGCTGCTTATCTCAGCGTTTCCCAGAAAATTACATACAAACACAATGTCTCCTGTGACTGTTAGAATCTGTGAAGTAAAAGTATTTCCACTGGGGACGAAAACCTGATAGTATCCATCCACATTATTGGCTCTTCTCGTAGTTAAAGCCTTTGCTTTAAAATGTCACAGTCTACAAAGGAAGGATGTGACGGAGTGGCCATATGTCAATAACAGAACACTAACCTCCATGGAATAATATCCAGGAGGTTTTCAATGAAGCAAAATGTTTCTGCGCTTTTTATTTGTAATTCTTAAACCTCTACAGAGTTCAGGCAAATTTGTTAAGGACTACTTTCATGTTTAAATGCATGAAATATAGCAGAATATACTGTGTATGAGATCAGGAACTTCAAAAACTAAACAAACTGACAAACTTTATCTTTACAGTCAGTTTGAGACATTTGCAGGTGTGAAGATCTGAAAGGGGAAAATTGTTTTGGCTCAATGGTAGTCCAGAGAGTCAAAGGCAAATCAAAAGGTGCACCTTGATGGTATATTAAAGAATTATCTGAGAACCCCAGGCCTATAATGGTTAGTAGTGTTTCAATGGTGTTTGATGGACTATGAGTCCAAGTGCTTGGGTATATTGTTCATGGTGATCTGGATATTTGTTGAGTAAGTAACTGGTTTGCAGTTTTGAGGTTCAAATATTACAAGTTCGTTCTGATTCTGTTTGTTCTTTGGTCGTGGAAATTTGGTTATGGAAGGTTAAACCATTTCTCTCTTTAGAGCGTGCCAAAATCGAAGCCCTTAGCATTCAAGAGAACACTAGAACTGTGTGGTAATTACCTTCTCAAATGGTTTAAATCATCTGTGAAATTGTCCAGTTTTTCTTCTTAACCATAGTCGTTCCTCTGAAACTTGTTAAAGATCAGTAAATACAGCTACTTCATTTGCAGGATGACTTTAGGATTGCAAACCTGCCATTTGCAGATGGGTGGAGTATCGTTACCCATCGGCAGCCACATTAAAGCATTAATAATAAGCCCTGACTTGTTTCATGTGATGAATCGGTCTCTGCTCTGATGTCTGATGTGACACCGCGAAATGTCAAACAGCA